CACTGTTACACACACACACTGCTACACACAGACACACTGCTACACACACACTCTGCTACACACTCTGCTACACACACTCTGCTACACACACACTGCTACACACACACTGCTACACACACTCTGCTACACACACTCTGCTACACACTCTGCTACACACCCAAAAACACACTGCTACACACACACACACTGCTACACACACACTGCTACACACACACACTGCTACACACACACTGCTACACACACACACTGCTACACACACACACTGCTACACACACACACTGCTACACACACACACTGCTACACACACACACTGCTACACACACACACACACACACTGCTACACACACACACACTGCTACACACACACACACACTGCTACACACACACACACACACACACACACACACACACACTGCTACACACACACACTGCTACACACACACACACTGCTACACACACACTGCTACACACACACTGCTACACACACACTGCTACACACACACACTGCTACACACACACACACACTGCTACACACACACACTGCTACACACACACACTGATACACACACACACTGCTACACACACACTGCTACACACACACTGCTACACACACACTGTGTTCACTCAACACCTCACCATGTTTACCCTCACTCCTCTTATTTAACTCCGTGAGGGGAACCACTTCACAGAGACCCCTCACCTTATTCAGTCTTCCGCGATATTACACGATCTTCCGGGAGGGAGCGCGCGGGGGGGGGGGGCGCAGATCCCCTGCAACTATTAAGACGTGAGCAGTGTACAAGGTGGATGAGCACGAATATCCATAAGAAGGACTCTACCACATACACCACCTTTCCACCATCTTGCCCACACTAACGTGCCCTCTAGGAAGACTCTGCCCACATACACCACCTTTCCACCATCTTGCCCACACTAACGTGCCCTATAGGAAGACTCTGCCCACATACACCACCTCTCCACCATCTTGCCCACACTGACGTGCCCTCTAGGAAGACTCTGCCCACATACACCACATCTCCACCATCTTGCCCACACTGACGTGCCCTCTACGAAGACTCTGCCCACATACACCACCTCTCCACCATCTTGCCCACACTAACGTGCCCTCTAGGAAGACTCTGCCCACATACACCACCCCTCCACCATCTTGCCCACACTGACGTGCCCTCTAGGAAGACTCTGCCCACATATACCACCTCTCCACCATCTTGCCCACACTAACGTGCCCTCTAGGAAGACTCTGCCCACATACACCACCTCTCCCCATCTTGCCCACACTGACGTGCCCTCTAGGAAGACTCTGCCCACATACACCACCTCTCTACCATCTTGCCCACACTGACGTGCCCTTAGGAAGACTCTGCCCACATACACCACCTCTCCACCATCTTGCCCACACTGACGTGCCCTCTAGGAAGACTCTGCCCACATACACCACCTCTCCACCATCTTGCCCACACTGACGTGCCCTCTAGGAAGACTCTGCCCACATACACCACCTCTCCACCATCTTGCCCACACTAACGTGCCCTCTAGGAAGACTCTGCCACATACACCACCTCTCCACCATCTTGCCCACACTAACGTGCCCTCTAGGAAGACTCTGCCCACATACACCACCTCTCCACCATCTTGCCCACACTGACGTGCCCTCTAGGAAGACTCTGCCCACATACACCACCTCTCTACCATCTTGCCCACACTGACGTGCCCTCTAGGAAGACTCTGCCCACATACACCACCTCTCCACCATCTTGCCCACACTGACGTGCCCTCTAGGAAGACTCTGCCCACATACACCACCTCTCCACCATCTTGCCCACACTGACGTGCCCTCTAGGAAGACTCTGCCCACATACACCACCTCTCCACCATCTTGTCCACACTAACGTGCCCTCTAGGAAGACTCTGCCCACATACACCACCTCTCTACCATCTTGCCCACACTGACGTGCCCTCTAGGAAGACTCTGCCCACATACACCACCTCTCCACCATCTTGCCCACACTGACGTGCCCTCTAGGAAGACTCTGCCCACATACACCACCTCTCCACCATCTTGCCCACACTGACGTGCCCTCTAGGAAGACTCTGCCCACATACACCACCTCTCCACCATCTTGCCCACACTAACGTGCCCTCTAGGAAGACTCTACCCACATAAACCACCCAAGATAAACCAAAAAAGTCGAAGTAACTTGTTATCATTGGCGTTCTTAATATCTTATTTAAACCTAAGAGGTTTAAACAGGCGAAAATATTTTAACACGTGAGGAAGCTCTAAACCTGAAGGGGTCAGACACAAGCTATTTAGTGTTAATAAAAGGGAAGAGTAGCTCAAACTCCTCGAGTCCAGAGCACTTCTCCAAGATAACCCAAACTATCCTTCAGGACTGCTGTGCCTCCCTGGTGAGGCGGGCTGCTGTACCAACCAGGACTGTTGTACCTCCCTGGGGAGGCTGGCTACTGTACCAACCAGGACTGTTGTACCTCCCTGGGGAGGCTGGCTGCTGTACCAACCAGGACTGTTGTACCTCCCTGGTGAGGCTGGCTGCTGTACCAACCAGAACTGTTGTACCTCCCTGGTGAGGCTGGCTGCTGTACCAACCAGGACTGTTGTACCTCCCTGGGGAGGCTGGCTGCTGTACCAACCAGGACTGTTGTACCTCCCTGGGGAGGCTGGCTGCTGTACCAACCAGGACTGTTGTACCTCCCTGGGGAGGCTGGCTGCTGTACCAACCAGGACTGCTGTACCTCCCTGGGGAGGCTGGCTGCTGTACCAACCAGGACTGCTGTACCTCCCTGGGGAGGCGGGCTGCTGTACCAACCAGGACTGTTGTACCTCCCTGGGGAGGCTGGCTGCTGTACCAACCAGGACTGTTGTACCTCCCTGGGGAGGCGGGCTGCTGTACCAACCAGGACTGCTGTACCTCCCTGGGGAGGCTGGCTGCTGTACCAACCAGGACTGCTGTACCTCCCTGGGGAGGCGGGCTGCTGTACCAACCAGGACTGTTGTACCTCCCTGGGGAGGCGGGCTGCTGTACCAACCAGGACTGCTGTGCCTCCCTGGGGAGGCTGGCTGCTGTACCAACCAGAACTGTTGTACCTCCCTGGGGAAGGCTGGCTGTTGTACCTCCCTGGGGAAGGCTGGCTGCTGTACCAACCAGGACTGTTGTACCTCCCTGGGGAGGCTGGCTGCTGTACTCCCTGGGGAGGCCGGCTGCTGTACCTCTCTGGGGAGGCTGGCTGCTGTACCTCCCTGGGGAGGCCAGCTGCTGTACCTCCCTGGGGAGGCCGGCTGCTGTACCTCCCTGGGGAGGCTGGCTGTTGTACCTCCCTGGGGAGGCTGGCTGCTGTACCTCCCTGGGGAGGCTGGCTGTTGTACCAGCCAGGACTGTTGTACATCCCTGGGGAGGCTGGCTGCTGCACCAACCAGGACTGTTGTACCTCCCTGGGGAGGCTGGCTGCTGTACCAACCAGTACTGCTGTACCTTCCTGGGAAGGCTGGCTGCTGTACCAACCAGGACTGCTGTACCCCCCTGGGGAGGCTGGCTGCTGTACCAATCAGGACCGCTGTACCTCCCTCGGGAGGCTGGCTGCTGTACCAACCAGGACTGCTGTACCTCCCTGGGGAGGCTGGCTGCTGTACCAACCAGGACTGCTGTACCTCTCTGGGGAGGCTGGCTGCTGTACCAACCAGTACTGTTGTACCTCCCTGGGGAGGCTGGCTGCTGTACCAGCCAGGGCTGTTGTACCTCCCTGGGGAGGCTGACTGCTGTACCAACCAGGACTGTTGTACCTCCCTGGGGAGGCTGGCTGCTGTACCAGCCAGGGCTGTTGTACCTCCCTGGGGAGGCTGGCTGCTGTACCTATCAGGACTGTTGTACCTCCCTGGGGAGGCTGGCTGCTGTACCTATCAGGACTGTTGTACCTCCCTGGGAAGGCTGGCTGCTGTACCAACCAGAACTGTTGTACCTCCCTGGGGAGGCTGGCTACTGTACCTCCCTGGGGAGGCCGGCTTCTGTACCTCCCTGGGGAGGCCGGCTGCTGTACCTCCCTGGGGAGGCCGGCTGCTGTCCCTCCCTGGGGAGGCCGGCTGCTGTCCCTGGGGAGGCCGGCTGGTGTACCTCCCTGGGGAGGCCGGCTGCTGTACATCCCTGGGGAGGCCGGCTGCTGTACCTCCCTTGGGAGGCCGGCTGCTGTACCTCCCTGGTGAGGCCGGCTGCTGTACCTGGGGAGGCCGGCTGCTGTACCTCCCTGGGGAGGCCGGCTGCTGTACCTCCCTGGGGAGGCCGGCTGCTGTACCTCCCTGGGGAGGCCGGCTGCTGTCCCTGGGGAGGCCGGCTGCTGTACCTCCCTGGGGAGGCCGGCTGCTGTCCCTGGGGAGGCCGGCTGCTGTACCTCCCTGGGGAGGCCGGCTGCTGTCCCTGGGAGGCCGGCTGCTGTTACCTCCCTGGGGAGGCCGGCTGCTGTACCTCCCTGGGGAGGCCGGCTGCTGTACATCCCTTGGGAGGCCGGCTGCTGTACCTCCCTTGGGAGGCCGGCTGCTGTACCTCCCTGGTGAGGCCGGCTGCTGTACCTCCCTGGGGAAGCCGGCTGCTGTCCCTCCCTGGGGAGGCTGGCTGTTCAACTGAATGTCATCCATCTCATGCTGAAAAAATTACTACCACTATTATTACTACCACTATTACTACTACCACTATTACTACCACTATTACTACTACTACCACTATTACTACCACTATTACTACTACTATTACCACTATTACTACCACTGTTACTACTACTACTACCACTATTACTACCATTATTACTACTACTACCACTATTACTACTACTACTACCACTATTACTACTACTACCACTATTACTACTACTACTACCACTATTACTACTACTACTACCACTATTACTACTGCCACTATTACTACTACTACTACCACTATTACTACTGCTACTACTATTACTACTACTAATACCTTGCGTGAGTCGTGTGGTGGTAGTTGTCTTGACACCATCAATGGTAACACCTGTGGCTATGGGCGTGAGGGTGACCACGCCGCCCACGTTGTGGAGGATGCAGTGTTCGGCCTCCACGCCCGCTCCCATCACAACGATGTCAGGCACCACGCCCATCCCGCCCGCACCCACCACCGTGCGTCCCTCGTTGATAGTGTGTAGAGTGATGGCTGTGGAGAGGCGCCCACTGCCCATTGAGACCAAATGTGGGCGGTCTGTGGCCACCCTCACCGCCCCACCCGCGCCTTCCACTACCGCCAGACCACCGTAACTATGGTGGCGTGTGAGCGCGGGCGTGGTAGTCAAGCTGACTGTTGATGCTGCTGCTGGTGTGGTGGCCAAGCTGACTGTTGCTGCTGGTAATGGTTTGGAGTAAACACATCTGGTGTTAGCTGTATGTGGGGTTGGTATGGGTGATGTGTGGGCAGTGTTGTAATACACTGGGCCTGTCCCACCCACTGCTCTGGATGCCCCCGCCCTCGGACCACAGTAAGTGTGGGTGGTGAGAGTGGGCGTGGGCGGGGCATTTGTTTCAGGAGGGTCGGCGTCAGCGAAAGGAATATCACCAGCCGGCGTATGAAGCCCACACAAGCTGGTAGCTGCTGACGCCATCACTCTGCACCAGTGTCAGCCAGCGTCACCAGTGTCAGCCAGCGTCAGCTGTGTCAGCCAGCATCACCTGTGTCACACAGAAATACATGTGTTAATATTTACAGTGATAATTACACGAAAAATATTCTGACTTTGTCCACTATAACACATTACCTCTGTGTGTGTGTGTGTGTGTGTGTGTGTGTGTGTGTGTGTGTGTGTGTGTGTGTGTGTGTGTGTGTGTGTGTGTGTGTGTGTGTGTGTGTGTGTGTGTGTGTGTATACTCACCTAGTTGTACTCACCTATAGTTGAGGTTGCAGGGGTTGAGTCCAAGCTCCTGGCCCCGCCTCTTCACTGGTCGCCACTAGGTCACTCTCCCTGAACCATGAGCTTTATCGTACCTCTGCTTAAAGCTATGTATGGATCCTGTCTCCACTACATCGCTTCCCAAACTATTCCACTTCCTGACTACTCTGTGGCTGAAGAAATACTTCCCAACATCCCTTTGATTCATCTGTGTCTTCAGCTTCCAACTGTGTCCCCGTGTTACTGTGTCCAATCTCTGGAACATCCTGTCTTTGTCCACCTTGTCAATTCCTCTCAGTATTTTGTAAGTCGTTATCATGTCCCCTCTATCTCTCCTGTCCTCCAGTGTCGTCAGGTTGATTTCCCTTAACCTCTCCTCATAGGACATACCTCTTAACTCTGGGACTAGTCTTGTTGCAAACCTTTGCACTTTCTCTAGTTTCTTTACATGCTTGGCTAGGTGTGGGTTCCAAACTGGTGCCGCATCCTCCAATATGGGCCTAACGTACACGGTGTACAGGGTCCTGAACGATTCCTTATTAAGATGTCGGAATGCTGTTCTGAGGTTTGCCAGGCGCCCATATGCTACGGCAGTTATTTGGTTGATGTGCCTGGTGTTATACTCACCCCAAGATCTTTTTCCTTGAGTGATGTTTGTAGTCTCTGGCCCCCTAGACTGTACTCCGTCTGCGGCCTTCTTTGCCCTTCCCCAATCCTCATGACTTTGCACTTGGTGGGATTGAACTCCAGGAGCCAGTTGCTGGACCAGGTCTGCAGCCTGTCCAGATCCCTTTGTATTTCTGCCTGGTCTTCGATCGAATGAACTCTTCTCATCAACTTCACGTCATCTGCAAACAGGGACACCTCGGAGTTTATTCCTTCCGTCATGTCGTTCACAAATACCAGAAACAGCACTGGTCCTAGGACTGACCCCTGTGGGACCCCGCTGGTCACAGGTGCCCACTCTGACACCTCGCCACGTACCATTACTCGCTGCTGTCTTCCTGACAAGTATTCCCTGATCCATTGCAGTGCCTTCCCTGTTATCCCTGCTTGGTCCTCCAGTTTTTGCACTAATCTCTTGTGGTACTGTGTCAAACGCCTTCTTGCAGTCCAAGAAAATGCAATCCACCCACCCCTCTCTCTCTTGTCTTACTGCTGTCACCATGTCATAGAACTCCAGTAGGTTTGTGACACAGGATTTCCCATCTCTGAAACCATGTTGGCTGCTTGTGATTAGATCATTCCTTTCTAGGTGTTCCACCACTCTTCTCCTAATAATCTTCTCCATGATTTTGCATACTATACATGTCAGTGACACTGGTCTGTAGTTTAATGCTTCGTGTCTGTCTCCTTTAAAAATTAGGACTACATTTGCTGTCTTCCATACTTCCGGTAGTCATCCTGTACCGATAGATGCGTTGAAGATTGTTGTTAGTGGTACACAAAGCCCCTCTGCTCCCTCTCTCAGGACCCATGGGGAGATGTTATCCGGCCAAACATTTAGTCAATATAGATACCCAAGTGTTGCAGATGTGTCTTATTCAGCAATAAAGATACCCA